TGTCAAGCACTCTGACATCTTTAAAATTAATGACTAGTATCTCATTATCATGATTAGGTGATAGGCCATTGGTCAATATTGCAGAAGACCCAAAATAAATGTTAGTCCATGAACAGGTTTTTGAAGACCAGAGCTTCAGAGTCACCTTTTTGGATTGCAGGTCAACATGGTCAGTGTACATCTGGCTCGGGGTTTCTGAGAACTTTAACCCCAAAAAATGTGGCCTTTCCAAGCTTTCTTCAATCTGCAGGTTGTGTCCCCACCTTGATCTTGGATTTTGTAGGATGGAAGTGATAAAGATTTAAATATTGGAAAGCCAGATGGGAGAAAACCTTTCAACTGCTGTAAGTCTCCAGTCATCGCATTCCTTGATGTGAGGTCTCATTCTTGCTGAGTAACTTACCATGATTTCTTTTGGTCCCACTTGATGAATGTCAGTGGCACAGTAGTGTAGAATTTATATTTTAAGGTAGTATTTGTTCTTTATCTGAATGTGAGATGAGAGCTGCTGAAAGTTTCTGTTTGTTGTGGGTAAGGAGGTCTAGAGCACTCCCCAGGGCCTTCCTAACATTTTACAGCAGGAGCCTAAGACTCGTAGCAGTGGCAGTGGAATGGAGATTTGTAATCTTCATCAAGTGCCAGTCAGGACCTTTGCCGCCCTCTTTGTTTTGAAGTCTTCTTAGCATGTTCTTCCCTTCTGTTGAAGAGTTCATCTGTGTGCATTGCCTAAGAAAAACTTTGGTAGTTGCTTCACGTTTATGGAATTCTCCCCCACCCCCAGGTTTATTGAACCCTTCCATTAGTACATTGAGGCAACTGGACGTAATCCAGCAAAATTTAGGTGTGGCAAAGTGAGGATTTCAGCATCTTGTTCATTTTCATTCCATTGATTTCAGTGGGAGTTGGGCACGCCTATCTTTCTCTGGATTGCATCTACTGAGTACAGACACTTTGGGCTTTGGCAAGTATTAAGAGTGAGATGGGTGTATTTTTATGGGTTAGGTTTTATTTTGTTGAATCTTGCTCCCCAGAGTCTCAGTTGTAAACTGTGTGAGATAAATGTTCATGTCTCCAAAAATGTTATCTACGAAAGAACTGTTGGTGGGAATTATTTTCATTGTGCCTGTTTTACCTTTTCTGATGCGTTAAAAATGACTCTTCTTGGGCCATATGCCACCTAATCTAGAAACTTTGTGGAAGAAGTTTATTACATGATTTTGTTCTTGATGCCTATGTGAAAGAGCCAAGATCAAAAGTTCCCCAACCTGTTTTTTTTTTAACTCAGAGGTTCCCCAACCTGGTTTTTTTTTGTTTTTTGTTTTTTACTCTCTTGATATAAAATTTCCAAGATCGCCATGAGAGAAGGTATGCTGGATCACAGCCATTTGTAAATGATAATCCTGAATATGTGTTTTTTTAAAAAACACGACACCAGGGTACAGATGGCATACATAGGCTCTTGCTAACCCAACAGAAACTTAATCGATCTTATTTCAGTTTACAGCAAAGTTTGTTTAAGCTGGGCTTGAGTGCCACAGCACCCAGTGAACTGGATGGAGTTGCAAAGAAGATCCAGTACTCACTGATTAACTTTTGAAATTTGGGCTATTAAAGGTTATTTGTCTGTAACACATGGCCCCTTGCTCATATACAGGCCAAAACTGTTCTCGCGGCCTCAGAAACCCTAATACTACTTTTACAGTTATGGAGGATGGGGAAGGTGAGAGAATTTTCCTTTGAGAAATTGTGTGCACACCTTGTTTTCTCTTTAGTTTCTGGCACCACTGATCAGCAGGGAAATAAGGCACACACTGCTAGCGCAACTTGCCACAGAATGCAAGTTCCCTTCTCTCACCAGCAGCAGGTGTCCCCCTGTTGGATTTGGCGAGGCAGTACACTACCCCTTATAGGACTTGTTCACTCTTGGTCTACAACCACCATCTGATTTAGATCAGTATTATCCCACGCCCGTGTGCCCTTCTGGTTTTGTAAGAAAGGGGCAGGTGGCAAGGAACCAGTTCTTCCTCCCTCACTAACGTAGAATTGGTCCTCACCGACCAGATAGGCGGGGTATAAATTAAATAAATAAATTTAAAAAAAAACATTTAGTCCAAAGCCATTAGTAGAATTATCAGGGTTACTTTGAAAATATTTCTGAAAACTTGTGGAATTCTGTTGGATATAGTGGGATCATTCATCTCTCCAAGGCTTCTTAGTTCATGACTCTCCAGATTCAAGCCAAATTGTTCTCCAGGTCCATTACTTTTCCACTGGCCCATACTGCCTCTCTGTGCACATTCAAATTCTGGTTAGAAGGAAACAGGTTTTTCTATGAGCACAGCAGTTGTATGGGTTGAAGGATAGGATATGATGACAGTTACTCATGGTTGCATATTAATATCCACTGTCTGCTGCCCAGGGATAGCCCCCTCCTATACTGAATATCCTTGCCACAGAGCTTTGTTAGGAGCAAGTGTGCTGGTTCGAGGTTACTACTCCAGCCCTTTGTGACTGGGCCAGGATCTGACCTCTTGTAGAATCAAGGAAACAGGACCAGCAGCGTTATGCTCCCAGGACATTCCTTGAGCTCTTCTGCTTCCGCAGCCTTTCCTTGAGTCTTACGGGTGTTTGGGACCATTATTCCCAACCCTTTCCTCTTTGCTGTCTCAAGGAAGAGCAATTCCTGTCAGTTAAACATCTTGTATTTGATATTTCCATCATTTAATGAAGATTCTGCTTTATAATCCGTCATCAAATCTTATCTCTAAGGTACCCAGTTACCAAACACAGGCAGCATCCTACTATCTTATTTCCACCCCACCCCATCATCTTATCATTGAGCTTCTTTCTTTAATTTCAGGACTATTATATACTGGTGTGGTGGAAACACTTCTCTGAATCTCTTGTCTGATGTGTGACCTCTTGGAGAAGGAACACTGAGAGTTAATTCTTTATGTGGTGTTTGTGTGTGTGTCCACATGTACAGTGGTGTTTGCTAAAGAGAGTATATAACGGGGGAAGGTGCAAGTGCAAACATGCACTGGACAGCATCAAAGATCTAGGATCATCCCAGTTCTCACTTGTCTCCAAATGCTTGGAGATGCATGTTGCTGTGTACCTATTCCATGTCACAAATAGCATGACAGTTGCAACAACTGTGTCATTGTGTGAAGTAGGTTTTGGGGATCATTAAAGCTGGACCCAATTTGGGTTACTCTGGCAAAAGCAGATTTCTCAGTCTTCCCCCTGCAACAGCTCCTTTAAAAAGCTATGCTGGGGATCGGGGGACCCTGCTGAATGGGTTGGCTGTGGTGTGGGGAAGCAAAGCGGAATCACGCAGCCACATTTTCAGTGAGCAAAGCTCTTCCAGCCATGGAAAACAGATCCTGGCTCAAACCCAGCAACTGTGAATTAGTTCCTCTAGAAAATACTAGAGCCTCTGTATATTAGTATTGTACATTTAAAGGTTTTCAGCTCCTGCATGCTGCCTTGAGTCACTAGAAATCGTTACGTGCATAGGGCATGAAGGTATCACGTGCCTTCCTGCACTTCTAGGAGCACAAAGAACCATTTCTTAACACTGATTTGTACTCAGATTTTTGAAAACACATTCAACTTGCTTTAATACATACAGTAATCCTTGCAGTTATGCCCATTTTTTGCTTTCGCCTCACCTTGTTTTGATGTGAGAATACCAGACACACTTTCCTAATAACTATTTTAGATAACGTTATCCAAGTCTCTTTGTATACAAGGGAAAATAAAGGGGTTCATAATGGTCAAAATGGGTTCAAGGGTGGGGTGAGGATGGAGGAGCTGTATATTTTTGTATATATGTAACAGATGAAATGGCAATTTTTGTAGTGATGTGGTCTGTTTTTGAAATGTTAACACTTAACCATCAGTAAATTGCACAATCAGTAGTTCAATCTATATAGCCAAGGCTCTTGAATTAGAATTCGTCACAGATTTGAAAATGAAATATTTAATCTGCGCAATGCAGCCCTAGTATTCTTCTGCTTCAAAATATGTAGCAGGTCAACTACTGTATCCAAAGGAATGCATCTGTTCCAAGAACACTGTACCACATTTCTTTCATTAAAAAAAGTTTGACATTCTACTTACTGATTTGGCCCTTCTTTTTGCAGAAATGCAACTAACTGTGAGATCAGGCTCTAATCCAGAGAATACCTTTCAGTGGCCACAGTGAGTCATTTGTAACTTTTCACACCACACACACACCCCTACACCCTGCCCTGCCCTGTATTTTAAACATGGGACTTGAGTGCTATAATAAGCTCTGACTGAGCAGAGTGCTATTTAGTGGGGGAAAGTGTTAAAAGTGCTGCATCAGATTTCCTGCAAATGTGCCCTTGGAGCAGAGAGGACCTATCTGGGTAAGTACCAATACTGTACATTTGCTTGAAATCATATAACTCATCCCACTACCGAATCTTTGTGATAAACTGACATCAGGTGGAGAAATAAGGAACAGATCAATCCTAGAAGTAGGCTTCTACACAGATATCTTCAACAGCTAGAAATGGGTGGATAACTTTTACCATTTTGGATGTTTGGGGATTATAATTCCTACAGCCCTTTGCTACTTCTTAAGTAAATTAAAACTTCTGGAAGTGGAAAACAGAATTCTCCCTACATATCAAATGGGATGGGGATGCAGCATCTGTCGCAGACACGTTGTCAGAACAGAACGTATCTCTTGATATGCACTAATCACTGCAATTATTGCAAAGGAAACAAAGAAAAGTATCTTCTACTTCTTCCATTTCTGATAGTGCATTGTTTTGGAGATGCTCTGCAGATACCCGGTCAAATTGACACTAATGTTGTTCTTGAGATTGTCTGATGACTAGTCTTTCCAAATTGGCAACATGGCCCAGATACATAAAAGACTCCTTGGCGTTTCAAGATGTTACTTGTTAGAAACTGTAAATCAACAGATCAGAACATGAAGAACATGAAACACTAAAATGCAAACATGAAATTACAAGATACCTTTATTAGTAATGTGAATTAATATGGTACACCAATTAGGTGCCTGTCATGTTACTTTCTGGGACAGAAAGATAAAAAATTAATTGAGGTTAATAAGGCCTAAGTACCTTGTAGACCTCTCCCCTGTCCCTAAATTTGGGCCTTAAAAAAATCACAGATGTCTTTTCACAGAAGGTAAGAGTTGCCTCACTGGCCAAGTTCCACCTGATCCAACATGTAATTCTTAACAGCAGCCATAGACAGAGAAACAGATGAAATAGAATTTAAAATAAAACAAAGGAACTAACAAAACAGGACATAACATGAAAGTATTTCAGAAAGTTACATAATAAAACAATTGTTTTTCCTGGTCTGTTCCTTCTTCATTTTAAATGTGATCTTGTCTTTAAAAATACAGTAATAAAAATAATTGCACTCTTAACACAAGAATGGTTCAGGTCAGACAGCTCAGGTGCATTAATAATGGGAAAGTGGTACAAAATTCCCAACACAAAGGGTTTTTCCCTTTTAATTTTCTCATTCTCCAAATAATAATTTGCTACTTGAAATGTATGCTTAAATCCAACAGATGTACATTTTATTCAGGAAAACTGGATCTGTAAAATTCCCTCACAAACATTAGGTATAAAACTTCAATTTAGAATAACTAGGAGCACTGTTATGAATGCAGTCTCATAGATTATTTTATAAAAGCCCTTTTACCAGTTGCTAAAAGTTTATTGAATGCTTGTGAAATGTATCATGGGCAAAGGAGTGGAACACAGATGTCGTTTTCTCAGCCATTTCTGCACCTTGTATGTCCACTCGTAAGGGAGTTGACTGTGTTTCTGATCATAGACCACATTAAAAAAAAAACCCAACAAGCAAGTTCAAGAGGGGGGGAGGAAATTTCTGAATGCATTTCTGTCTTATGAAATGGTTGAAGTCAAGACAGGGCCAGCCCTGCCATGCAATAGCACAAAAGTGACACATTTCAGATGGGATCATGACAGAGAAACAAATGGAAGTAACATCTGAATGTTGCAGCAAGACAATTCTACTAGTAGGGTCGGAAATTTGGGCTCTGCTTTAGGCTTCAAAATGTCTTGGGCCAGCCTGGGGAAAACCTGGGGGACGTGTTTCCAGGGCCTGATCTCACTACCTGTAACCCAATTCCTCATCTAGTGTTTGGGATATATTCTTGAATTTCCGAATACCCCTTCATACATCAGATGACATGGGCAACAGTACACAAGAATTAATGAGATGACGTACAAGTTAATCTTTAAGGTATCACAGAATTCTCAGTGGGTGGGTGACAATTTTACAGAAAACTGTGAAAAGAGCCCTTAATTATCTAAATTCTTCCACTCAGGCTTAAGCCAATAAAACCACTCACAAAGCAGCATAAAAACAAGCCGCCTAGAGTTTCAGGAGGACTGTACCAGGTCAAAACACAATACACTTGACCATAAATGCTTTACAACAGGGGCTGGGATATATTTCATATCATTTAAAGTGGTCTGGTCTCATTCTGGGTTCTTCTATCATGCCACCCATTCCTATCTGCTGCCTATACTCATGTATAGTTGCCCTTTGTTCACATGTCAGTGTCCTACTCTGCACAAAACAGGTAAACTGATCTGAAAAATTTAATAATAGCAATAATATCAGAAAGATGAAAAAAGGCGAAGGGAGTTTATACTAACCCAACTCTTCTTCAATGTCTTGCTTCTTTCTGAAGAGCACTAAACCTATGGTAGGGAGGCAGCTTAATAATAAAGGAGCAAAAAATGGTTGCTGCAAGGTCAGAATGATAAAACAAGTTCCCATCACTGTAAAATGGGCACTATACAACACACGCATATTCCACAGCAGAAACTGGTAACTGGCTCTCCAAATCATTTTTTGGATTGCAGCATCTATAATGTATCCTTTTGAGTATGCTGGCTAAGGCTGATGGGCCCTAAAACGGAGGTGGGCCACAGCTGCCTATCCCTGCTCTATAGGAAAGAATGGCTTGACCAACTCAGTTCCATGGATTCAATTCTCTCTTAGATCTCCAGTCAATATCCAGACTGGCTCCTGCAGCCTGCTGCCCTTCTTTTTTTTTTCAGCTGCATCTTCATTTCTTCATTGACATAGGCAACTGCATTATATTCTGGACATGATTTTGCATTTAAGAAGAAAGAGGAAAACTTTGTGCAGGAGTGTGTGGATACCAGTGAGTGTGTTCAATAATTTTTTTTATTTGCTTATTTGGCAGCATCTCTTTAAAAAAAAAAGATTTATCTGTGGTCTTGTAAGTACTAAAAGAGACAATCACTTTACATAGCCAGGTGACAGAGGTAGCTTCATGATTGTCATGAGGGCCAATTAGTTAGAATTCTACCTAGCTACTGTTTCCTGGGAGTGGGAAGGACGTGTTACTCTCGGGTTTCATTCGCTTTTTAAAACACATCTGTCCTATAGGCAAAAAAAATGTGGATGTCCAGCAGGCTCACTCTTGAAGCTATGGACACGTATGTCAGATTTCAGTTTAAGTAGAATTTGTCAGTCTAGGGGGAAAAAAAAGATGAAGATGCAGCAACTATGATTTAAATTCATCCTCTGCTCAAACCAAGACTCGCAATGGAAAAATAAACTTATTCATATCTGATAAAGTGGATCTAATTAGCCTACTGTGCATTGCATGACGTGGACCATAACAGAAATTATTTCCTTGAGAAACGTATTTATCAGCTGTCTAGAATACATCATAAATATGTACATCTATAAATTAAACATTCAATGAAATATATAAATAAATTAATTTAAAATTATTTGCCTAAGCAAAGTATTTTTTTGCATAAAAACGTTCCTTGCAGTAACAATTTATGGGATACAGATGATATTTCTGCACATTTCAGTTTATTTTCCCTGCCAAACTGCCATACAATCCAAACAGCTAGTGGAGGAAGAATTGAAAAATGAAAAAAAAAATGGCAGCAAGAACACTCAACTGCATGCACCTGCAGGGCTGCAGGAAAAATCTGCCTCATGTATGGGGAGCATCTTATTGTCCTATAGGAAGGGTGGGCAACTTTGGCATACCTCTCTCTCCTGGAATCTCCCCCCCTCCGCCATGACTACACCCCTCCTCTCTAAAACCGTTGGATGTCACATGTTGGCAACAAACTATGAAAAGCCTTGGTTTATAGGGCTTTTTTACAACTTGCCACTGAAATTAAGCGGTGTGGTTTTGGGAGTTGAGTCTGAAGACACCAGTGGATCACACACTTGCTATGTAAGCACTTTGTTGTGGGCAATTTATATACAGCATTTCCTCCTCCTTCCCATGGGCTGCTCCATTCATTACCTTCAGAAAGGTTGTTCAGTTTGCAGGGACATAGCAACCTTTACCTCTCCCTTACCGATTAAGGAAAATATGGGCTCTGGGGATGTTTGTCCCTGCACAACTTGGACAATCAAGAAAACTGGTTAGCAAGTGCCCTGGATTTCCAGTCAGATACAGGACTCCCAGTTTAAGAAGCCAAATGAGGCAGCTCTTTATAAAGGAACAAAGGGCTCCAATATACAGAGTGGTGCCTTCTGACAACAAGTCCCATGTTCAAGGAACAAAGTACCAAAATCAATGGCACAGATCTGATTTGGTCTGTATCTTCCGTCCTGTACATGGCTGCACCTCAAAAGGAATGACACATGGACAGGGGGAGAGTGCAAACCTGGACACAGTCAGGACCTAAATGGCAAGAGCAACAAAAAGATAACCCACAGGTAAGCTGAAGCTTCCCTATCTCTTCCTCTTTTTAGACAGACATCTCAGAACAGTTAATATATACCAAAGTAAACATTCCAAGCCTGGTAAACTGTTTCCTCTATCAATGAACCAAACTCTCAGCCTGCAACCTGCAGATTCAACACCTTCAATACCACTGTCTTGTAGAAATCCCTCTCACTGGAAGACAGAACAGGATGATTAAATGAAAAACTAACTGGTGGTTGGAAAGGGCTGTAACACTTTCATGAGTATGAGTAATACCTACAGCTTTTAAGCAAATTGTAATTCTTCTTCAGCAGGATGATAATTCCCTGGAGGGATAAAATTAGAGAAACCATGGAAAAGGAATTAACACCAGCTTGCCCAAACTCTGGCATCATCACCAAAGACCTTTTTCCATATCCTCCTGTCATCTGAAGTCAGGCTGCTGGTAACTGAGAAAGGGGACTTTTTGTTTGTGACACTTTTATGGAAAACCCTCCTCAAACTCCCTTACTTTTGCTATCAACAAGAAATATAAAATGAACTCAGTTTTACTTGAGTGTTTTCATCACTACTACTGAAAGGAAAAACAACACAATTTTAAAAATAAGCACAAATCATTTTTTGAAAACTTTTAAGCTGGGGCAACAACATCCGGAGGTCCATGGGCCACGTATCCCTATTTGTGAATCATGGGATGGACCTTTTTCCCCTCCAGTCCCTCAGATATTTCTGTTATTTGAGGAACTGAGTTTCCTCAACACAGCAAATAAAACAACATCAAGAAGCCCAAACTGACAATAGCCTCACAGCTTAGGAGAGGCTAGGTTGTTAACTATCTTCATATTTGGGTCCTGACATCACTAATAACAAAAAACAAAACAAAAAGGCAAGGGAATTGGCAGTGGGGGGGGGGGAAGAGGCGAGAAAGTTGCCTTTGGTCTAGTTTGTCCCATCTCCAGCTCCGTCACCAGGGCTGGTGTTTTCACTAAAAGGGCAAGAGCCCTTTCTGGAAAATTCTTCAGGGGGCGAGCTGAACTCTTGGGGCAGGAAAGAATGGATGTCCACGGTATTCTGCATCCTCTGACCATTAGTCTCTCCTGGTTTCCACAGAGAACCCTATCTATTGCCTTAAAAATAAATAAATAAATAGATAGATAAATAAATAAATACAATTTAAAATCTCTCAAGAGCCCTGAATAACTCCCATTGTAGATGTTGTTCAAATTATGATTGACCTACAGGGCACACAAAATGCTGCTTTAAGTGAGGAGAGGCACACCTCTTTGCCTCAGACGTGGTGTCACAGGCCCAGGGCAAGCAGAAGACCTTACCATTTGGGGTGAGGGTGGACTGTCAGCCCTGGCTCTCTCCTCAACACCCCAACTGTGGCAGAGAGGAGGCCCAAGAAACACACTGTCCAGTAGTGGAGCAGGACAATCCCAATTATATTATGTTTTGACTAGAGCTCAGTGAGCATGGATGGCAAAGTGGCTTTTTTCCTCTTTTATCTTTTCCCTCACAGCTTTCTTGGCTTACATGAGAGAGACAGAAAGAAAAAAAAGTGCACAGAACAGACACCACTACCCCAAACTAAACCTCCCTAGCCTGGATCCTTACATCTACCTTCAGGAAAGAAACAGAACTGAAAAGGAGAAAAATGAGCTTTTTCCCTGGAGTGAAAGCCTCTTCTTACTGTTCAGAGGATGAGAGGTGACTCTTGTCCAGCTGCCATGCCTCATATGCCAGACAAAGGAATGATACTGGAGCAGCCCATACACACAGGCGCTCTCTGCATTCTTCTATTCACATGCAACATTTGGGAAGCAGGGTCAGGGAGGGCAGGCGTTAAAGATAGCCACAGGAAATGTTCTACTTTTATGTTTCTTTGAGGTGTGCACAATACTAATGAAAGCATATATAGGACATTTCAAGCATTCAAACTGCTTCACATATTTGATCCTGGTAATCCTGCAAAATGGGCTACTCTTGTTAACTCCATAAGGAAGGCAGGATTGGGCTATGGCTGCCCCGTGAGTGCCCTCATAAATTTCCACTGGGGACCTCCTGGCCTCACAGCTCATGCTCTTAGTCACTATATTACAGCAGGTGAAAGAAATGTGATTAAACATTAGAAAAGTAAACATAAATAAACAGGGACACATAGCAACTTTAGCAGAGATTACTTAAAATAACGTGTTAAGGAATCATGATGAAACGTCCTTTGTTCGAAACATTCACTGCTGGTCAGAAAACCTTTGCATGCAACAGTGACAGGAAGGGGGGGGGAGCTAGTTTTTTAAAAACATCAGTTTTGGTTTGTTAACTTAGAATGTTTCTGAATCCAACAAAGCTTTGTTCTTTTGGTTGTTCTGTATCTTCTTCCCAAAGATCTTCATCAAAATGTCTACTGCTATGAAAGGGAATCAAGGAGACAGAGGTGGTTGGGATATTTTTGTAAGTGGCATCTCTTAGTATTGGACTTTTAAAGTAAGAATTTAAAACATGAGAACATTATTATTATTTTTTTTAAAAAAAGATTTTTTAAGAGTTAAAACTATGGCTGTTCTTTTTACTTGAAAGGGCAATGAGTCTTCCTACCAGTAGCAAGACTGTTTTCTGCTTATGTTTTGTCCTCCGCTGATCACTCATCACCATGGAAAACACCAAGTGCACAACCCCAGCAAGGGCTCCAGCTTTTCATTTGCCTTCCGTGTGAAACTTGTAAGGACTAAACGAAAGCCTCAAGCATTTGGATCCCCAAATTTATCCAGCAGTCCACATTTGCTTTCATACCAATTAATTAAAGCTATCTAAAACTATTTCAAATGGTTACTGAAACATGCCAATCTCCATTTCCACCTAACACAATTGCTAGTGCTAGTTTACCTGATCCAGCTACATATTCATTTATTCTGTTCATTTTATACTTCTAGTCTTCCAGATGAAACGTCACTGCAATAAAAATGCCACATTCAAAACAACTCTTTCCTTGGCTGTATTAAACTTATTGATCACTAACTGAACAGGATCAATTGAATCCTTTATATCATTGTGCAGATAACTCTTCTTCAGTCCATTTTGAGCCATATGAAACAGGGCTTTGAACAGAAAGCTGGTGACCACTTCACTTCTTTATGTTCCATTTTTCATCTCCCATTCCTAGAAGAATGCAGGGGGGGAAACGTTATATTCAATTAGCTAATTCAAGAACATTATAATGAAGAGTATTTCAGTGGGTTTAGTATGATGCAGACCATCATAATCCAAAAAATTTGCAATTTATGCCAGATAAAAGCAGTTTGCCTTAACTTATATTTAGGCAAATGACTAAAACATGAGATTAATATGCAAGAGAGATATGCCGTAATTTATTTGTAATTTGCTGGGTGTGGAGACAAAAATTCCAGAGAAAATGTCTAAACCCAAATCTCATTTACCTGAAAATGGCCAAAATCAAATTGATGCAAATTTACATCAGCTGAAACTGATGATGTCATCAGCTGACACTGGTAAATTTTAATTTGAATTATGTGAAAGCTCCCCATCCTTCTGTTTGAGGTTCTGAGGCTCCCTAGGGAAGCCTTTTGGAGCCTCAAGGTGCAGCAGGGAAGCCTTTAATAGCCAAAAAAGGCCATTGGCTTATTGGTGGTGATCCTGACCCTGGCAGCAGTTATGCCATTTTTTATTTATTTAATTTTTGTCTATTAGAGGCTTCGCCTGCCCATTCCAAGGCTTCCCTAGGGCAAAAGGGAGCCCTAGGGAGCCTTGGAATCTGAAATGAAGTGGGAGGGATAGATAACTTTTAGCACTGGATGATGACATTATCTATCTTCCAATGGTGTAAATTTATGCAATCGGATTTTGTGCAATATAATGTTATCAGAATGTGTAAATGATGCTGTAAGAGTTTGGCACCAACAAAGAACAACAAATTAGCTGAAGATTGTATGGGACTGGTTCACAAATCAAGTGCTAAAGCCTGCGTGTTCTCTTGAAGGCAAGGTACATCCTAGAGACTAAGATTCCTTTTTAACTGTTTTATTAGGAAACATTTTTTCCCGTTCAGAGGGCTCTTCACTATTTCAGCCTGATTTTCTTTTTCTTCTATAAATATTTAATTTAAGGCTTGGCACAAACTCTTGCACTTGGGCATAAGCAGCTCTGGCATTTTCATGCTTGGGTTATAGCACAATGGAACAATTTTGGGGCATAGTGAGACAGAATCTGATTTCCTCAGTACAAACTTTGCTTTTACAAGCCCTTATTTCCTCCTACTGTTCCATTGCAGGGTTCTGAATTTTTATCACCAGAACTCCTTATGCAATGAAAATGGAGCTAAGAACACACAGCAAGAACACAGCTTTTGTGCCATTGCCATCTTCTTTTCTGTTGTCGTGCCTAGGCAGAGCAGTGGGAGGAGCTGCTTTTCCTGCCTGAGTCACACAAGTGCATACAGAGCAGATCCGAGTAAGCAGACATCCAAGCATCTTCAACAATTGGTTTTTAATGCCATACTAAAAGCATTACTGCAGTTGTTTGTGCCTCTGGTAGCAGGGTGCACATTAACATGTCCCTGATTCTGCTACCTCCTTCCTGGGCTTCGTGCTCAAATTGGAAGCCCTCAACTCCCTGCACATGCCTTAGTTCAGTTGGAAAAGCTGCTCAGCTTCACACTACTTTGTATATGCAGACCTCTTCCCTGTCAGGCCAGTGGAGTGGCTGACAGCAAGATCATGCACATGGTGTCCACCAACACCCCACAGGACATGCAGGGCTTTCCAGAATGTCTCTTAATGCAAGGAGGAAAGAAGCTAGGGATAGTCATGTAAAGTCTTCAAAAATAATGCATGTTTTGAAATCATCACTGTTGTGATCTTAAGTACATAACTCTCTAAGCATAATGGAAAAATTTGTACTTGCTTTAGCCGGTTCAACACAAAAATGTATACAGATCTTTTGCAAGAATGAAAATTGTTCTATATAATATAAAGCTATTAGCCTCTTTTTTTAAAATAATTTTTTTGCATTTCTATCAAGATATACCAAATCATTGTAACACCAAAGAACAAACACAATATGAAATTCAGAAATTATCTTTCATTCAATCAGAAGAAAATAAAAATAAAACCTATTCTGGAATATGCCAGCCATATTCCAAGATCCTTTCACATTGCTCTGCTTACCCAACAGGAGTGACATCCTTAGTAAAAGCACATTGCTGCTAATTAAAGAGTTCCCTTTTCAATTATGGGTGCATTCAGCTTTGTATCATTGCACACAAGTTGCCTGCACCCTAAAATCAAACAAGGAATTATTTAATTAGTGTCAATATGCCATTCCCGTTGAGGTCACCCACAGCGCACAGCTAGGTGACAGGATACTTGTCATCAACTTCCATTTTTGAAGCAATCATAACTCGGGTGTAAACAGAAGGCAAATTATGCTATGGCAAGGGTAATGACCAAAGAACATAAGACCCTGACAGGGAGCTCACCTTTGCTTTCTGAAGCACGTGGCCTCTGCATGGAGAACTGCTTGAGGAAGAATGTCTTTTCAGGACTACAGCACTGTTCACAGGCATGGAACCTTCTGTATCACTTGTATCACAACTGGAAATTGGTGAATTCTCCAGCGTCTGATGCTTTAGCACTGGAGACTAAATGATTTTAAGAATAACCTGAAATCACAGCAGCTACCAAAAGGGAATGCAAGAGAGAATCTTTCAACATGCACAAAATGTTACCAAATAGACCAGACCTTAACTGGCCCCAATGCAGGCCTATTAAGAAGCATCATACTGGATGGTAGAAACAAGGTGGACTTCTGGTCATACACTCAGACAAAATTTAACTTTCTGAATGGAACTTCAGCAAACAACATCAGACAAAATGCATTTTAATCAACAGGTCTTTAAATTACTTATTTACAAAGGAATACAGCCTTGCAGTGAAAGTTAAGTTCTTGAGATATGAAACAAAACCATTACATTCATTATGAAATATTTCATATCTTTAAGAGGAAACCTTGGACTTTTCTGATTATGCACAGCAAACCTTGTTCCAATTCTCTGTTAAACATCAAATCACAGTATGATTTGACATCGAACAAATTGAAAAAGAAATCATACTTATCTAGGTTCAATAAATCAGCTGAAGGAATTTAATATCAAATATCTTTAAAAATGTAATTAGGGGCACATTTCCAACATTTCAGATTTCAAAGATGGTCACAACTCAGTGAAACTATAGATAGCATTAACTACCTTAGAGAAACATTAAAGCCAGCTGAATAGCTCAGTGATATAGGTCAGTGTGCTCCAACCTTTTTAATTCCACGGACCGGTTGGGGAAGGCGGAGCACCCCCCTGCGCGTTCACACGGACACATGCACAAAGGAGCGGGGGTGTTTGGGTGCACTCGTGAAGGGGGTGGGGGGCGCTCTCTCACTCATGCGCATACGTGAAAGGGCTGTGCGGGGGACGGGAGGACGTGCGGGGTGTGGTCTGCAGTCTGGTCCGGCCTAGGCCACGGACTGTCACGGGCCGCGGACCGGGGGTAGGTAACTGGCTGCAGAGATACAGGCTAGGAATTCAATTTCCCACTGTGCCTCCCGGAAGAAGACCCAGCCTGTGTAGTTATGGGCATGCTGAACAGTTCTTGGGCACCCCCAGCGGAAGGAAATGGTAAACCACTTCAGTTTCAGTTTATTATTATTACAGTCCATGACCAGCAAGACACTGAAAATAATATAGATTGAATTTATAAGACACTATACAGCACTAATGCAAATGAAAAGAGAGATAAAGGAAAGTTAAAGCTTAAAATCATTACCCATTAAATCTACATGCAGCTGTGAGAAATTTCACACAACTGAGTGTAGTCTGATTATTAAGGCCTAAAACTAGTTTGTATAAGATTTCTGTTTCAGGACAGCCTGAGAACTGGTTAAGCAGAGGGAGAATGAACTTAATACGTGGTTCACGATAGAACCAGCAGTGTAAATCACTCCTGTATATTTTCTATGTGGAAAAACCTGGAAAGGGTTGCCATAAGTCAGAATTGACTTGACAGCACACAATTATTAGAGAAACAATCAGGTTTTGAGAAGCTTTTGTTCCTTAACTATGGGCAAGGAAATACACCAGTTTTCTGATCTAAACACATACATTCAGTTCACTGAAAAGTAAAGGGAAGATTCTGATCTCCTCTTCATGGTTGTGGTGGAGGAAGGTCTCAAGTACATAATACTAAACCTTCAATATCTGGTTCACGTGTCTCAGTAAACCATAGTTTATTGCAGGGATGACCTGTTGTTCCTCTAGATATAAGTGGACTACTTCTGAGAAGTAGGTGTTCTGGTGGAGACTGACTATAGTAGGAGTCCAAGAAGATCTAGAAGGTCACAGATTCATAACCTCTCACTTGGAGGTGAAAAGAATAGAGTACTAGCCCCTTTCCCATTATATTCTAAAAGAACCTCTATGCCAGCTCTTCAGTAACCCAAATGAACAATTATATTAAATGAAAGTGAAACAACTAGAAAAAAAGAATAGCAATGTAACCGCAGACTACCTCTCCCAATGCAAAAAAGATGAGACTTCTCCTACTTGTAGCAACACTGAATTGGTACAAATGTCAGTGTGGCATCTGCCCAGGTCATGAATATTAATGTGATATCTGCATAGACCAATCAGAGCGCTGGAGGGGCAGAGTCATGAGATATAAGGAGTCAGCAGGAGGAGGGGGAGTTTTAGTTAGAGAGATTGAGAGTTTAGAGAGAGTTGAAGAGTTTTGGGAGTTTGGGCAGGAGAGTAGTGGTTGAGAGGGGTTGAAGGAGGATATTTGTTTAAGAGTTAACCACATTGCTTGAACTATCATCATCTGTTAACAATAAACAATTTCTATTCAGTTCTTTTAAAAATGACACCTCGCCTGGACTTCTTTTATTAATAATGAACAATGTTGATGTAATCAACTGGTGGCAGCTGAAAGACATGTAGCGTGAGCTCTTAGTTTGGTGAAATAATCAGAGGATAAAGGAAGACATGGTATTTGGTCTGCAAAAAATTGAGCAGGGCTCTTAGCAATAGGACCCTTTGGAAGTCATTAATTGACTGGATCATTGTAAAGTTGGCAGTAACTGAGTAACAGATAATATGCACACATACACATACCTGTGCAGTAGAAGTTCCTGATTTAGGCTCAATTGCCAAACCTAGAGTGATGCCACCAGCCAAAGCTTTCTTCAGGTTTTCTTTCACCTCTGTCAACTCAAGTTCCAGAGTAACACGTTCCGATTCTTTCAACTTGCACTCCTCTTCCAGCTTCTTTAATTTATCTTCAAGAACAGTTAAAGTTTTCCTGCCTGAGATCAAATAGGATAAATGATGCTGAAAGCAGGGGGAAATTGTACAACCTTTAGCTGGTCAGTAGGGGCAGGTGACTGTGAACTCCCAAGACTGAAACACCAAGGTAAAATAAAAGTCACTTTAAGTCAGTCAGACACTGCACTTAATACTCTGTTTGCCAAGACAGACCAACTCTACCCCTCTGCTTGCTGATCTGTACAAGCTGGCCTCAATGCAATCTGCATAGAAGTTTTAAAGTCAGACAAGAGAATTTAAAAATACATATTTACCTGGGGAAAAGTCTTACTGATTTTAGTGAGACTTGGGACTTACTCCCAAGTAAGTTCATATAGGATTGCAACCTTACATTGGCCAAATAAATAAATAAATAAAATGGGTTGGAAAATATTGGTATCAAGAATGACAATGGAAAATGATTGTGGGGAAGAAATTAGCTGAAGAGAGGAAGGAATTAATTAAAGAACACTTCATCTGGCATTTGGGGCTCAGCCCCTCCCCTGCCTTATACTCATTTTGAACAGTCCTTGGCAAGCTATGTGTCCCTCATCCATTTTAAAAAAGGCAAATCAGAGAGGCTGTTTTGCTTCAGCAATAAACGTGTGCTCACAAGAGTGATTTGGAAACCTCTTCAAAATTGTACTTAGATGGTGATGTGGGAAAGTCATTTATTTCTCCTTCCATAGTATGACAGTCTAGTTTCAATGCTGTCTAGACAAAAGCTATTAGGGAACATGCTTGTTTATTTAGTTATTTACAAATGGATTGCCCATCCATGTGATCTCTCCTCCCCATCTGCTGCTCAAAGATTCCATTTAGCTATCATAACCAAATGGAGAAGAGCTACGGCAGATGGATCAGGGATAGCATATGCCTTGCTAGAGTGACGCCAAGGGAAAGTGATAGGGGTGGGTGGCCTAATATAGGGCGCAGGAACTGTAGCATATTCACTAATCCTGAGCCCATTACAACAGGCATCTCTATGAACCAACTTGACATCACTGATTGCAACTGAAATGCAAATCAAAGAACTGCAGAGCATGACATCATGAAACAATCATGTTGATTTAGACAGAGGAGGCATAAGCAGGACAAGAGAGCTGCTGTTTCTCTACTGGCTCCAAGCCTCTTCTATTGCTCCATCCTTTGCACTTTACCAAGTTTCAAGTAGGAGGCAACATAGGACATGATGGCCCTCATTCTAGTCATATTAAAAATTGTTATAAATGTTCTGAAAGTCCTCTCCTGCTTCTGCTGAAAAGCATTTGCTAAGACACCAATCATGAAAGAACAGGCTATTAAAATCAAATGTTTTACTGACCAGCATTCACTTCAAGTGCTGCTCGAAGGTCCTTTCTTTCCTTTCGAAGCTGAGCCAGGCGATTCCTCAGCGCTTCCTTTTTCCTTAATAGCTCCTCCTCTTTGGTCTGCAACCTCTTTGCATCAGCTTCAACACGGTTCTTGCCATATTTGTACTGATCTGCATCTGTACATAAAGGGTTAATTATTGCTACCTGAGCTCAGAAATGCCACTGCTCAAAATGAAAAATAAGATCAAATTCTAGGCATCCCAGTGACAATCCAACATGTTTCATCAGTTTCCTCACACACTGATTTGGTATATTAAATAAGCAACATAACACCTCCCCCACGTTGTTTGCAGCCAATATTTGAACTCACTTTAAGAAGCATAACTGTCAGAATTCTGTGAATTGTTGAGACTCTTCTTTATAATTTCTTGGCAATATCAGTGCATGGCCTGAAGAAGTGGATGAAAGCTTGCTGATTGATTATTTTAGTGGTCTAATAAAGATATTACTGTACATTCCCTGCAATAATACTGTGTAAGGACCACATATTTTGATTTTTCTCCAAGATTAAAAAATATCTTTCATTAGTCTCCGAGGAAAACTTTTCTCTTATAAAGTGCAGGGATGAAACATGAATACTAATAATGGTTTGCACATGTACACCAATCTGCTACTGTGCCACATAATTGAAATTTCAGTGCACAAAGACAAGTATGGAGTGGAGCATGAGCAGAGCAGTGGAGGATAGTGTTCAGCAATACAATGTGTGCCATAGAATGGTATTTCAGATGCACAAAATGATGCTTGTACATTGAGCTCCAACAGTAAGGCATATATTTCTACTTTTCCATTAGCTTCAAAAGATAACAAAACGTATGGGAAACACTTACTTGAGGTGCTACGTTTCACACTTGAAGGAAAATCTGATTTCTTCTGTGGATTGTTTAATGTTCTTCCTTTCCCCATAACTCCATTAGGAGCTCCAGAAGCTTTCTTTCCTTTAAACTATTATGAAAAAGAAACATTTATTTCAGTTTTGAACCATACGGTTCATGCTTTTCCTAAATATAAAAAACTAAAACTTCTCAGTTGAAAACAAGCCAGTTTTGCACACATTTAAAATTAGATCAATCGAGAAAAGATGCTTATTCTCGAAAAGAAAGAAAAAAAAGAAAGAGTTGCTACAATTGCTACTGAGAAACACATTTGAAAACTAAACATTTCTTAAGCCACAGACCACTGGGTGTTCAACATTTCAAGCACTTTTTCAGACTCTGAGATAAAGTTTTTCAAATATGTGTGTGAGAAGGAATTAATCACAGGAAGATCTATTAACATAGAGTCTTTGGAAAGCTGGGATTATTTCCTTGAGGCAGGTAATGGGCCTGCCCTCAAATATCCAATAAGGAATTCTAGCCACTATGCCAGCTGCAAGAAAATTGGGAGACCAAGTTGCAATTTTCAATATGAATAGATAGATAATGTGAATTTCCCTAGAAAACTGAAATAAATTTTGTTTCTAATTTTGCAAGTCACCAACATAATTCTACCAACAATTGGTCCAACAATTTAAAGATGGGGAAAGAGTATCTATGTTGTGGTTGTTGTGGGTTTTTCGGGCTCTTTGGCCATGTTCTGAAGGTTTTTCTTCCTGACGTTTCGCCAGTCTCTGTGGCCGGCATCTTCAGAGCAACCATTAGATCCCGGCTGTGAAAGCCTTCGCGAATACAGCATCTATGTTGTTTATCCTTGGCACCACCAACATGCTAATAAAAAGGTCTTGTGGTCCTATACCTTTATACAGTGGTGCCCTGCATAGCGACAAAAATCTGTTCCGAAAAAATCGTCGCTATGTGGATTCGTCGCTATGCGGGGCAAAAAAGCCCATAGAAACGCATTAAAACACGTTTAATGCATTCCTATGAGCAAAAAACTCACTGTTCTGCGGAAATCCTCCATACGGCCGCCATTTTTGCTGCCTGGTAAGCAAGGAAAGGACGCGAAAACACGGCAGGTGGCCATTTTCTTCACCCAGTGGCCCTTTTGGAACCGCCGATCAGCTGTTCTTAAAACATCATTATGCAATAATCTGCTGGCCATTGAGAAAGCATCGCTGTACGGTGAGTAAAGCTGCTATTGGAACGCATTAAACTAAGTTTAATGCATTCCAATGGCTTTTTCCTTCCCGTACAGCGATGTTTTCACACAGCGAGGGTTAATCCGGAACGGATTAACCCTCACTGTGCGAGGCACCACTGTACAGTGGTGCCCTGCATAGCGACAAAAATCTGTTCCAAAAAAATCGTCGCTATGTGGATTCGTCGCTATGCGGGGCAAAAAAGCCCATAGGAACGCATTAAAACACGTTTAATGCGTTCTTATGAGCAAAAAACTCACTGTTCTGCGGAAATCCTCCATACGGCCGCCATTTTTGCTGCCTGGTAAGCAAGGAAAGGACGCGAAAACACGGCAGGTGGCCATTTTCTTCACCCGGTGGCCATTTTGGAACCGCCGATCAGCTGTTCTTAAAACATCATTATGCAATAATCGGTAAGCGAAACGCTTACCGATCATCGCAAAGCGATGTTTTACCATCTAAAACATCGTTATGCGATCGCTTTTGCGATCGCAAAAAACACATCACTATGCGGATTCGTCATTAAACGAATCGTCTCAGACAACCTCCCATAGTTATAGCTGTTTCAAAGGCAAGATATGTGTTCACATTTTTTTACCCAGCTTTTAATTCCCAGAGCCTCTTTCAGAGCAGAAAGCAATGGTAATTTTACAATGCATTTTCATACAATTTACTGGTGGAAGTTTTTTTAAATTAATGTTTCCACCAACAATTCATTTAGTGGCTATTTTAAACTCCAGAAGATCTTCCTAACCTCTGGACAAATCCTCCGGGTAAATTCTGAGGAACATTTAGAGAAAGCAACCACCACAACGTGATTTTTAAAGAGATGCTCAGCAAGATACTGAAATGGCAGCTCTAGGAATGGCTTAAGGCCTGAGATGGAGGATGTCTCACCCTACGATTTAGACAAGAGTGCTCCCCCTGCCTTGGTCACAACCAGTCTATAAACAGTTCACCCTATGGTTCAAATACATTCCAAGAGAAACAGATCCGTGCCCTTGTTACTTGGCTATGATCTGTCAGAAAATGGTCACCTGCTCAACAATCCACCTCCTACTACTTGTGTGGCATTCACAAGTCTGGAACCCACCGTGCATGAAGCTTAAAGAGCATTCTGAAGTTCTGAAGGGATAATATCTCTGAACAAATTTGAAAAGGGAACAGGGCAGAGTAGGACACATGCACAAATTCAAACCTAGATTTTGTATTCAGGATTATTTAATACTTCCCTGCAGAACTGACAGCGCAAAAAAAAAAATCTCAGACAACCTCCCATAGTTATAGCTCAATATTGCCAATTTATAAGCAGCTCTTTGAAATAGACAGACTAATCCCAGCCACTGATACAATCTTAAGAACAGCCAACTAACAAGGCCACAGCTTTCTTTCACATGAAACATGGGAGTTCCCAGATTTCTCCAAGCAGCATGGCTACTGGCCACTCTGACATGGATATTCCATGAGTAGTCAAAAACAAAAGGAAAAAGAAAAAAAACACCCTCCAATTTGTAAGCATCAGACTGTCAGATTTTTTTTCACTAAAGCTCCCAGAATGCACCGGGAATTTCAGAATTCCCCCAGTCAGAATTCTGACAGCTTAGCCAAAAAATTGAAGTCATTGGATTAGTTTCAGTACACACAGCTATGCCTTGGCAAGTCTCTCTCTGTAGTGACAGCATTAGCCTGAAGAAGAAGAAAATAGGTGGGAGTGGCTAAGCTCCATGGAAACTATAAGAGATTAGGAGACTGGTCATCTTTCTGTTTATCTGTACAGGATGGCTCCCCCACCACAAAAAAAAAAAACCTAACAGAATTTTCAGCTATAGGTGCCAGAATTTTGGCTAGAGGAATCCATGGTGAATTCTGGGAGCTGTAGTTAAAAAAACAATCCAAAGTCTCATGCCTACAAATATGTATACCTCTTATCATAAGTCATATTAAGTGGAGGGCTAGATTTGGCATGGAAGGCTAAATGAGCAGCGATACTGGCACCCTTGTGAGCGCCATCCCAAATATTCTCAGGCATGAGACACTGTCATAGACTTTCACACACTGTGCTCGTGATCTAAAAATAGTTCTGTAAATTGCCTTTGCAGAGTTGTAGTGAGCTGGAATGCTGATAAGGCTGAGTTCCTGATCATAGGAGCTCTGTAAGCATGTTTAGGCCAATGTGATTACAGAGCCCTCTTCCAGACCTTCACAACTGTGAGTCTGCCAAGTGCATGAGGAGACATACACCATCCATTCAGCCATTCAGAAAAATGCCTGAGTAAAATCATGCTCACAGATTCCAAACCCACCATAAATAACCTCTTACTCAAAATCAATGCTAGCCGACTCCCTTGTTGGTGGAGCCTGAATTAAGAGAAATAATATCTATGCAATTTTATTCTCCAATATTCAGCACTTCTGTCTGAGAATTAATACTTGAAGTGACAATACAGTGTATGGCTTTATTGGCAATGCGAGCATCTAATAATCAGTGCATTTTTCTTAAGACAAACACAAGAAGAAGAAAAGTAAGCTGAATTAAAAGAATGAAGCAGTGCAGTACCTGTGACACAGATCCCCTCCCCACAGCAGAGGTATTAGTGACAGACTGAGCAGAAGATAGATTGGATGAAACAGGGTGTTTATAGTGGTTAGAGGACAGTTTGTCAGTAGATAACCTATTGACTTTTCGGTCTGCTTGCGGACAGCGTGCAAAGATTTTCGGAGATGGCAGGTTATCATACAGGCCCATGTTATCATAAAGCCCATCTTCTCCTGTGCTTCTGCTACGTGAAGTAGAAAAGCCATCTTCTGGTTCCCACTGTAACACACACACTTAGTAAATTAGCATAAATTTCATGCACTGGGGGGGGAAGATAATCATTAAAAGGTTAACTGAGTGATGTGAATGAACTGTGATCTTAAAAGACTGAAGTAGATATTCTGATTTCTTAAATCATAGTTTTCAGTGACATTCAATGCAGGAACTAGGATTACATCTCAACATGATAAAAGTTCAGTATATAAATCACTTTACTAGACATTACAAGATTACAGGTATCATATCAACCGTTCTTCTCCCTTTAATTCTCTCTTACAAAATGGCTGGTTAAAGGGGAAATTCTACTACAGGTACTAGAAATTACTTATAGCAAAATTCAGTGAAGTGATTTAGGAAATAACTATTGCTCATCTTAACCTACAACAGAGCTTCCCATGAGGATAAAATGGGACAATTTCAAATGCATCACTTTAAACTCCTGAGGAAAGGGAACTGGAGGGAAACATGGCAAGTCCTCTACACATTTATAGGAAATTAAGTGTCATTAAAAATAATGAGACAAATTTATCATTATCATCATGATGTTAGAACTGCACAGCTCGAAGGGACCCTATGGATCACTGAGTCCAGCCCTTGTCAAGGAAGCACAGTGGAGTATCACACTCCCAACTTCTGGCTCCACAGCCAGATACTCAAACCACTGAGCTACCCAGCGGTTCAATTTGTGAAAGCGTGGATAAGATTACAGTGTTGGAAGTGATGACACAAATGAAGGACATCAGGGACAAAGAGCACAAAGGTGAATGAGTAATGGACATAACATCATCTCCCTCTTTTCTTCTTGCATACTTTTCACAACTGTAAGCTTAATCACACCCTTACTTTGACCTTTCCCCAAGGAGTTACATTAATACTTTGGATTTATCTAACCAAGGAGTATTGAACTACATATATTTATATTGGCTTACATGTTCATGTAATATTGGAACAATATGCCCCACAGTTAAGGACTCTGTTCATGAGGCATGGTTAGCAACACTTTGGGATCATGCCCAGGGACACTCAGCCAAGTCGGCTTTTGGAGTTCAACACACGTAAGTGATTTGACCTACACAAAAATCAATTCTTACTGATCCATTTATGCAAGGAACATCATCGTAATGAAGTGCCATCCCGCTGGGACATGCGTAGCCATTGGCAGCATTTCCCCGATAAGGATTAGTAGAGACAACCCGTCTGTTCATAAAACTAAAACAAACAAAAACAAAAGAGAACATTAGCTCAGTTTATGTTGAAAGGACATTTTGGGAATAAAAATGATTCATCCCTTCACCTCCTCTCAAATTCTTCCTTGCATTCCTCCCACCCCATCTTCTCAATATGCACAGCATGGTATTGCAAGCTGGAGTTTCAAACATGTAGCTGTTCTTCAGCAAAATACAATACATGGGGCTGTGTGGGGTTGATTAGGACTCAGTATAAATTAAGTGATTTGAGGGGTAAATTGATATTAAAAATTGTTTTACAACTAATGTTCAGTAATAGAAAATCTGATAAAAGTCTCTTAAGACTGTCTGCCCTATGGAAGGAAATCTGCTCAGGAAGGACCAAATATTTTCTGCAAGTTACATTACATTGCTGGAGGTGTGGGGGGGGGCAGCAAACACATTGGACTCTCTAATCACAGCTTGTTAATTCAAAAGATATTGGCTAGAGAAGCAGGGATTGCATTCCCCTAGAAAGCAATGTTTGTGGGCAATACAAGGTGGCTCTTTCTCAGCATGGCTTGTCTGTGTGGTTGCCTTGGAAATTCAGATCCACACATTTGGATGATAAATCCACTGTACCACTCACAAGTTTAGGCTTTGAATCCAGGAGGGATGAACATATACCCTGAATGTGTTTAAAGGAATGATGTCTCACAGCTACTTAGTAAAAAGCAACCAGATGGGCTAGCATGTCTTGCTTATATTACTTTGGAACTAGTACCTCAAGGGCAGCAAATGACGGGGGCAGCGGACAATGCTCATGGGCTCTGAGTTAAGGTGCCCCCTCATGCTGGTCCGTGAGCTGACCCTACAGTACCTCCTGTTCTTTCTTTATCCTCTTTATTTATTTGTCATGCAGTAAAAAAGGAGATGAAAAATCTTTAAAGTCAATGTTTTCCTCTGTCAGAATTGCCCTCTTCTCAATACCCATGCCACATAAAATTGGGGAGCATTTTATAATCTTCATATGTCAGTTGCTTTGAGTAAAGCAAACGTGCCATGAAACTCAGCACTTCTATGAGCCACTCTTTTAAGTATTGCAAATAGCTTCAAATACTGAACACTAAAATACTGCCAGTAAGAACAGGACTAACTCCCAGCTGTCCTCAACACTGACTGTGACGGTTGGGACCAAAGGGAGTAATGGTCTACAATATCGGGAAGACTGCATTTGTCCACCTTAATTCTACCATATATTATTCTGAAAGGGATAGAATTGCCACAGTTCCTTGTATTTTTGCAGATTAGACAAAGAGTTACGAAATACAACTTCACTAATAATTGTTTCGATTCTAATGACTTATTATTTTTAGCTTTTAATACTGTTTCTTTTTAATAGTGTAAGTCACCGGATCCCTTTTTAGAAGAAAGGCAGGGTAAAAATATTTTAAATACATAAACAAACAAATAAATAAGCAGGGTAAAATATTTTAAATAAATATATAAATGATGAAAACTGCCATAACATTACAGTTATTTATAATTTTAAGACAATGTATACCAAAAAAATGGGAGATATATACATCATATTTGAAATCAGAAGGCATCATGAGTTGATAGTAAGGTCTCAATGTTTAATTAATTAATTAGTTAATTAAAGCAAAATTATTTGACTGATTAAAGATGGCTCTGTTTGACAGGCAACAGGAGTCCTCCCCATCTCGTATTTAATACAAATATGTATTTTAAAAATTGACAGAGGATCTGAAGATCTCTCCCTTTTCACACCCACAGGAGGAATGGCTCTTCTAGCATAATAGCTCCCATAACAAGCATGAGTCATCTAAAAACAAAAGGAAGTGTTTCATGCTTTAAAATGTGTTTTAACTCACAAGCACATGTAATTCACAGATAAGCATTATTAACCAATTAACATTGCTTTCATTGGATAGTGCTAATAAATAGCAACTTGTTTGTAAACCATTCTGAATTAACAGGGATGCCTGACTATTAACAATCCTTAACCACTTTTACTCAAAAACATGTACCACTGACTTCAGTAGACTGTTTGCAATGAGTGTGCTTAGCACGGTGGCTCAAGTTGCTTGGGTTACAATTACGGTGACTACACTGCAGGAAACATGGGCTACAGGAAATTTCAGTTTTTTGGTACAATATCTAGTAAAGACTGCATTACTGCTAAGGTTTCTTGGCACCATTGTTTCTTGAAACAATGAAAAGCTTGAATTCCTTAAAATGCTCTTTACTGGTACAACTCTTCCTACCAGAAGGTTTGCTTTGCAGCCTGAATAACACTTGCTGTCACATCCACATCTATATAGTCATAGTGCAGAGTGCCAGGGTCTGCCGATGAACCACTCTCAGCCAGTAAAATCCCAATCCATCTGCCCATGTCTTCTGAAGAAGAAGCCTACAAAGAAGAGAGGGAATCACAGGCTGACATTTAATCTGGTAGGAACATACTTGACTTTTGCTTTGACTGTACTTGTTTTTCAGCTTTATCCAAGGCACTGAATTTGTACTCCGCCCTTCAGTATAAAAATAATCCTAGGGTGGTCACAGGAGCACATACAGTACAAATATACAATAAATGAGCAGCAGACTAAAAGTGGCAATTAAAAACAATGCTACTGCAGACTATGAATTATGACACCAGTTTATTACACTTCTGTGTAAATGAATAGGAGTCTTCAGTCTGAAACTCACTGTTGGTAGAGATAACAAGAGAAATAAAAGTTTTCCAGAGCTGGAGCAATATTAGACATGTTTTGCTAAGGTGTCAAGTGAGCTGACAGTGAAGGGTCGACATAATCCTTCTTAGCCAGGTTGGGACAAGAGCTCTTGGCACAGAAACACAGAATGCCATGCCTTTGGAACAGAATTGGGTACAGTGGTGCGTCGCTTAATGGGCATCCCGTTTAACGACGAAATCGCATAGCGATTAACTTTTTACGATCACTTTTGCGATCGCATTGTGATGTTTTACATGGGAAAAAATCGCTTTGTGATGATTGGTACCCTGTTTCGCTTACTGATCATCGCAAAGCGATAATCTTTTAACAGCTGATCGGCGGCTCCAAAATGGCCGCCGAGTAAAAAAAATGGCCGCTCGCTGTTTTCTGGGATGGATTCCTCGCTTACCAGGCATCGAAAATGGCCGCCGTATGGAGGATTTTCGCTTAAAGGAGAGTCTGAAGCCCATAGGAACGTATTGAAGGGGTTTCAATGCATTCCTATGGGCTTTTTAATATCGCATAGTGACGAAATGGCTTTGCAGCGATTTTTGCTACACCGATTATCGTCGCTATGTGAGGCACCACTGTATTTTCTTATTTTCTTACATATGGAATATCTTGCTTGCTCCAGAAGCAGTGCAATTCTGCTTAGGTCCAAGCCAGTAAAGTAGGCATGAAGAATCTTCATAAGGGGAGGGGGGTTTAAATTCCCCCAGATTCCTCCACGTGGATGGGGCCATTCTCTCTGACATCACTGGGTCCACAGATAAAGCACCAGGAAGAGTCAGCAGACCTTGTTTCTTTCCCAGTTTCCTTTCCTGTACAGTGAAGAAGGAGTAGGTTGCCCCTCACCACTGCTGATCGCCCTGCCAACTTTGTTCCTCCATTACTTTCCTATTGGGAAAAGCAAAAGGGGAGCAAAGTGACTGACCTACAGCCTTGAGGTGGCAGATGAATCATCTGCTGCCTTTCCCTTCTGCCCAGGAAGGGCTTTGGGGAGGGAGAGGGATTCATCCTGAGGCCTTGTAGAATGGCTTGATGGGCCCCAATTTGTCTCACATGCTATAGGTTCCTGATAGCTGCTGTAGATGATTTGCACACTGAGGACCTACCTCTAGTACTGCAACCTCCTGGGCATTTCGAAGCAGTCGGAATGTCAAAGGATGCTTGGAGTCTAACCCTGGAATAACTTCACAGCCACGGAGAGGAATAGAAACAATATGGGTCTTTAGATCTGTCCTGTCCTTGTGGAAAATGAGCTTATTGTCTTTCACTCGGCACCAGCGTTCACGCCAACGATTATTTGAGAGCACATTAAGATATCCTGGAAAACAAAAAAGAAACTTTTCGTTTGTTTCTTTTAAATGTGTGTAAGGCAACTCCCAGGCTTATCAAAATCAAAAGCCACTTTCAGGAATAAAAACTAAAGCCAGCCTGAGAATGGTATTGCAGTCGAAACTCTGCTCAGGACCTGTGTTTGATCCCAATGGGCTCAGGTAGTCTGCTCAAGGTTGACTCAGGCTTCCATCCTTCCAAAGTTGATAAACCGAGTACCCAACTCTCTGTGGGGGGTGGGGCAATGTGTAGCTTGCATAATTAAATTGTTAACTACCCAGAGAGTACTTTAAGTGCCATGGGGCAATATATAAGCTGCACACTTTGCTTTCTACTAAAGTTTTCTCAAGCCACAAAAAGGGCCAGCATTACAGCCATTCTTGAGAAAGCCCAAAAATTATTGGCATATAGCTTTGTTGTTAAAACACAACGAGGCATGGTTTTCCTGTTCCCAGCAGTAGACCTAGTGTCGCAGCATGTGTCTCTTCACAGCCTCGACAGCATCATTTCGCAATAACCACCTTATCTGGGCTTTTTGTGAAACAGATGGGAGATAACAGGGACAGAGACAGGAATGTCTTTGAGGTTTCTATGAAACATGCTGTGGTGGAAACTTTAAAAAAAGAACACATCTCACTCCTCACATTCTCTTTTCATCAATTTTACTTAACAATAGATGAGTAGCCACTTGTGGTTTTTGAAGCACATGCTTTCAAAACCTCCTGTTCTAGCAGAAAAGCAATAAACAGTCATTTAGCATGGAGGAAAAAAGCAAATGTTTTGAGGGAAGCAAGGGAAATAAACTCAACCAGCCCCCTTTGTCTAAGGAGGATAAGAATTACACAAGACCATGGCTGAGGTGAATGTGTGTCAGTGGCAAGATGCAGAGAGACAAACACAGGGAAGTTGGAGGAGATTAGAAGCTTAAATGGGAAGTCAGCAGAACTAAGACAATGAAATGGAGAAGCTGGTACAGATAAAAGGATGCTTCCATCCTAGGTGACAGGATGGACTCAGAAAAGGAAGATGCAGAAGACAGAGGGTCTGGGACCCACGGGGGTTAAAAAAAGAAAAAAAGGTAGATGATGAGAGAGGGAGTTTCAGTGTGGGGTGATGAAAGTCAAGGTAGGAGGAGGTACTGTAAGGAAGGAGAGCTCCCACACTCTTGTAATATTTTATTCCCAGCAGTGCCAGTGAAAGCCTTCCTGACGTGCGAGGAGAAAAGCTACCAGCGCCTCATCATACCCTAGTTTCCTGCTGCCCCCTGTCCCCCACTACTGATGTTCCCTTTCACTGCTACATGGGAACATTTGAAGAGGGACAGTGAAGGAGGAAGAAAGGGGTAGCAGGGCTGGCAACAGCCATGGCAGGTTTTTTAATTGTCATTGGCTGCCTGTTTTACCTCTGAAGTGCAGTTCCTGCAGAGCCAACTATTTGCCAAACACTTGGGTCTTCAGTCTTCAGGACTTGGCTCTGAAGACCCAGATCAATGGCAAACAGCTAGCCGCATGGCAGCCAGCAACAATTCAAAACAACCTGGTACTACCACTATCATCACCTTCCCTCCTCACATAAGTCCTCAAGTACAATGTGGGAGGGACCACTAGCAGGGGACCAGGTGGTAGAGCTGCCACCCCAAGCACTCTACCAACTGAGGTGGCCGATGGCAGGTCAGTCTTGATCCCCAGCCACAAATCTGTGGTGTGTTTTGGGAGCCAAGAGGAAACATTAATGAGGCCAGACAATGGTAAATAAAGGAATATGTTGGAGAATTGCTACAAGAGAGCTGACTGACTGTATTGAACTAATCCATTAGTGTATGAATAGACACACTGAGGCAGCAATAAAAAAAAAAAGGCCACTCACCACATGTTGGAATATCTTCTTCTGCTGACGAAGTTTGTTCATCTGTTGAGGGCTTTTTCTTTCCTAGGCCAATTATTTTTGTTATTTTCTTCCCCGTTACTTTAGACACGGTGCCTTTGGATTCTGTCTTGGAACTTTTTTTCCTCTTTACTATCAAGAAGACAGCAAACATGTAAATATCCAGTTACGAATCAGGTGTTCCAGAAAAAGCATTTTTTTTAAATCATGTACAGTTAACAAAGACTTCTCTGCAGTGAACATCCAAAGTTTTTGGATAAACAGAGCACCAAAATGGATCCAGATTCAAATCCCTGCACAAAGCCACCTATGCCTAAAACTAGTAAGAATTTTACATCCAGTGAAATAGAGTTATCACTCACTTCTCATTGTTTATACAGCTCTGTAACTCTGTCTTTTTCATAAATGATTGCAAATATTCTACTACTCTAGCATGATTAGCAGCACCTTACCTTGTTCTTTTCCATTACAGATGGCAGTTACTCCATTTTCTACTGCACCCTCTCCATCAGAACTTGGTCTTTCAGAAGATAATTTCTGCAGCAACAATATAATAGGATCACTGTTAATTGGTTATGCTGGAAATGACTTGTCATAAAACAAAGAATGTAGTAAACATTTGTTTATCCATGCAACAAATGTTCGACAGACAAGAATTAATTCTTAGGTATTGGCTTTTTCATACAAACTTACCAGAACTTCTGAATCCCACACGATTCCTCCACTTACTCGCATTGATTTCATATTATTTTCCTCTCTTTTACTTACTCTCTTTGTACACCAATGGTTCTATCTCCATAGAATTATTAATACTGTAAATCACTGATGTTGTTGCAATGTGTTGTCTAGTCACATCCAACTCACAGTGACCCTGGCAGTATTTTCAAAGTATCTGAGATATTCAAGGAGTGGTTTTACTAGTGCCAACCCCCCAGTGGGTTTTCATGACTTAGCAGGGATCCTTAGTCCTACAATATATCCACTACAACACAGTGGCAGCTCATATTAAATAAACACTAAACAAAAATCTAAGATGGATTTCAAACTATTTCTCTGAACACATTTCAGCCTCCTTCTCTTCACTGTACTCTATAGGAAGGCATTTGTTCTTTTCTGTCTGGGCTGCTTATGCATTTCTTTAGTCCTTGATCTCTCCTCCAAAGTTTAAGTATGCTTTCATTGTGCTGATGTTCCTGAAAAAGTTTGACGAATGGAGCTGGAATCCTGCCTGTTCTCATAACAGACCTCTCTTTGACAAAGACGGTGCCAGAAATAACATTCACAGCAGTGGGCTGGAAAATGTGGCTTTTATTCCTGTTCTATCTTGTTGCAGTTTTTCTTTTAAAAGATAAGACCCTTTTTTCTGTAGTAAAACAAACTTTTGCAATGATAAACTTTTAAAATATTTTTTTGTTTTGCAATTAATCTATGTAAGAGGAACATACTGTTTGAAATGTATGTGACCTAAAATTAAAGGGAGCATGGGGGGAGGGAAACTCAATTATTTTATTTAAAGAAGGGTTACCAAAATTGGAGTAATAAGTAATAATCCACTGAAAAAATCACTTCAATATTTTAATAATACTGTTTATTTTTCTTAAACACCTAAGAGCATAGCACTGTGAAATAGAAAACATAAAGGGCAATAGAGCCAGCCATTCAGAATTACAGTCTAAATAAACATATAGATACAAAATGGAAAGGATGAAGAAAGGAATGCAGTAGAGTAAGGAATGTGTAGAAATGAGATGTCTCAGCAAATTGGAAGAAGTATTTGATGACATATGGCGCTTTATAATGCTTCATAAGAGTAGGAGAGACTGAACCTCGCAAAGGTCCACAAGAAGCAAATTCAAATGATAATGAGATGCCAAAGAAAATGAAGAGAAGTGCACAAAAACAAATACAGTACTGTATTATATTTGGGCTAATTAAAAAGTTGGTATTAAAAGTATTCAGGGCTATAGAAGCAGAATGGAGAGAGAAGAATGGTGAAAGACAATGAGATACACCAGGATTCAGACAAGAGTGAACATGAGAAGTAAGGGGTAAGAAGTTACAATGAAGCCATATAAGAAAAATAGTGAGAAGGGAAAAGGGACAGACATGGTGTTATTTACAGATACGTAGGTGATCTGCAAAGTGAAGAACAGACAGATACAGACTGAAATCCTCTCCAAAGTTCACCTTGGATAAAAATGGAAATGAGCCAATACCTTCTCCTCTCTAAACCTGGAAAACCTCAGGTTTATTTTTTCTCTGAGCCAGTCTAAGGACTCAGCCAGACATTCCCCTGCCCATTCCCATTAGGCCAAAAAGTTCTGCAGGAGTGGAGATGGGCCTATTCTCCCTCTTAGCCCATTGTGCAATACTGGGTGACACCCCATAAACCTGGGGAGATTACATGTAACAGGATTCCAGAGAATATTTCTCGCTCATCCTCCAAGCTTAACATAAAGGGTAATCATCATTCAGGTATAACTAGCACACATGCACAATACATTGCTATGTTTGGCTTTAGATACAAAACCAGGAAGCCAAACATTCTGTTTTATAAGGATAACTCTGTTGCTACTGTCATCAAAACAGTAGAACATCCAATTTACAGTGATCCAAGCAGGGATTTCAAGGTATGTGTGGCATATTTAAAGAACTGTTTTACCACTGCAAACTGGCCCATTCCCTGGTTCTATCCACTACATTATGCTGCCTCTTGTCACAAAAGGAACAGCAAAGACAGCAAAGAGCTTCAATGAACTTTCTCATTTTTCAAAAGAGACAAGTTATTTTGAGGAGGAAAGCAGTGTTGCAAACCTATATTATATAACAGAATGTGGTATATAAAAGGTAACAAAAAGATAGTACATAAAATAATACACAAAAATTATTAGAAAAAAATACCTTCTGCTTTCAGACAGTGAAAATGCTGAAAGAATCTCAACCAAATACAGTATTTTATCAGTTTTCAAGGAAAATTAATTATATATTTCATTGGCTCTATCGTGTTTATATGCCATCTAAAATAAACAAGATTTGTTATTTACTATTAGATTCTGGCCATTGTTTTACCCCATGACTCTGGGCTTTCTAAACCATACAGTGTTATGCATAAGCTATGCACGAGAGCCTGAAGTCTATTAATTTCCATTTTTGCTTAATGAAATCAGGTAAACAAAAAGGGCATAAATATATTACTCCAATTGTCCAGGACTATGATTTATAACATCCAAAGAAGCTAACATTCATAAGCTACTAGTAAGTCCGGTTAAAGGCTGACTTCCAAGTGTGGCTGATTTGAATGCAATAGGACATAATCCTGTATTCAGATGTCACAGTAAACTTCTCCTGCCTGGCTTATTTAACATTTCAAATGAAAAGAAGAGAGAAATTCTAATAAATGGACTCCATGTACAAGCATAATACATTTTTACATTATGACTGAATAAGCCAGGATTTCTGGCAGAAAATGACTTTCGAACATAGGAACGGGGAAACACTCATACCCTCTGGATTTTTAGTAATCTTTTACATTATGTATTTACCTTTTCCAGTTCAGTTTTATGTACAGGAGAATTAGATGAAGGTCCATCTGAATCTGTGGTTCCAACATAGTTGCTGCAAACTTCTTTTATTACCTTCAATGAAATGCAAAAGCAAAAGGTCCTTGTTTATATCTTGCTCAAAACTAAGAAGCTATATGTCAGCATAGGAAGAAAAAATATATGGAAAATTAGAATTATGGCTATACTACTATCTTGAAAAGAAGAATGTGACAGTAGCATTTTGGAAGGCTCTCTCAGGAATGGGATCAATTTGTATCACTGATCTTACTCAATCAGCAACTTCATGCACAATCTGGAGAAGTCACAACATCAAGCAGTAGAAAGTTTCAATTTCTAACGTAACTTTGAAGAGCCTGTACACAAGAGAAAGGGCTTGAACAACCAGGCCATAGACACTGTTAATTGATATCAACCAAGCATTCCTTATTTCCTAACCACACACGCACCCAGCGTCTCATAAACCTCCTCACTTCCCTCCCTCTCTTTCCCTCATTCACACAACACTCATCTCCCCCACCGCTGCTAACCATAGTGGAGTTTTACATCTGCATTCAAGGTCCTGCTGTAATTTAAAGACCCATTCCCATTCCCATGTTGGGAGGTACTACACTCTTACAAGATAATTATCATCCAACAGCAGTTTGGTGGCTAGTCCTGTCCGGATGGTGGTGACCTTTAAACATCATAGAAAAGTCATGGAATGACTCTATTAAAAAGTGGCTCTTGCAGCACTGCCATCAAAGGGGACTTTTAGCTTGTTTATTAGGGATGGGAGCATCTTCTAAAGCTGCTCAGAAAAAATTTTCAAACTGAAAAGAGATCTCAAAACTGAGCCGTGTCACAGATTAAGCTATATCAGAAACACGCTGTGACTTTAAATTGGAACTGAGAAAATTGGGTGGGGTATCTGCAAATCAATCCTCAACTTGAACAGTTATGGTTAACAGGCATCAGTGTGGTGGGATGAACAAAACAACACCCACAGCCTTTGACCAGGGGGCAAAAAGGGCGAGGTGCTGAAAGAAAACACTGATCTAAAAGTAAAAGCAAGATAAAACCAATGTAAGAAAATAATATTGCAGCACATAAAAATTAATTCAAACCAGCAGCAGGATAGGACTATGAAGATGCTTTACTATTAACACGTTCCATTTGATTTATTTTATGGTTTCACTGTTGTTTTTTATTTATGGTTCATTCCATTTTATTATGCTGTAAACCGCCCAGAATAATGTTTCACATTAATGGGGTGGTATATAAATTACAGAAATAACAAACAAACAAACAAATTATAGCTATTAAGACCACTGGAACTCTTCTACCTAGGTTTCCTAATCCAGCTCTGCTATATTCTTTATGTCTTCAAGCAACAGTAGATAGTGATACCTTTCCCATTTGTGATATGCTGGAAAATATTTCCCAGGCTCTATCACCAGTTTGATGCCAAGGCTGCTCAAGACAAATCTTTCAGAGATTTGGATCAGTCAAAAGCAAAGGGGGAAAGGTGACTGCATTTATTCACTTGCTTTCACTAAATCTAAATGTAAAGCAATTTAAAAGGGAGAGAATTAAGATCTGTGGAACCAAACTTCACCAGTTCATCAACATGGATAAAAGTACCCCAAGCTTTCCAGGGTATCTGAATCATGTTGGTAAGGCCCCTCAGTCTCTGGCCCATTCTCATATAAAAGGCCTGTTTGCAGGATGACAATGACTGTATTTAATTTTTCCAGTGGGCCTTTAGTAAAAATTCTAGAAATCCAAACCCAGAGCCACCTGTCACAATCCTACCCAGCAGCCTACACAACCTTACAGGGCAATGAAACTGCTCCCTCCGAAGTACACAGGTAACAAATATACATCTAGAAACCTAATATTACTTTACTGAAAACTTTTTAATGTTAAGTGGAGGAAGTCTGATACTGAAACTAATGAGGCTAGTTGTTTGTGAACCCTTCCCCCCATGACAACTGGTGATAACTTACCTGGTTCAGCTTAATTTACCCAAAATTAGGGTTCCTATTCTAGCTTATGTCCTGACAAAAACAGCAAATCCATGTAGAGGTCTAAAAATTCATCCTGTCTCCCTCAAGGTACCTAAAACAACTAGAAGTCCCAACTAGAGTAGATCAGTTGACTCAATGAATTGGAATAATGTAACTCCTTTACCATTCAGCAATTTATTTAGAAGTTGTACTCTATCTGGAACTATTGATTGAATTTACGTTATTGTCTAGAAGAGCAAACCCCCCAAATACTATACTCCCTATATTTTGGACTACAGTTCCCACCATTCCTACCATTAATTCCATGTTGGCTCAGGATGCTGTGAGTTTTAGTGCAATATACCTGGAGGGCACGAAATTGTGGAAGATGAGCAGACAGTGGATCTCCAGAGGTTCAGGACTTCAGCTCCCATAATCTTTGACTGCTAGCAAAGGCTGACAGAAGCTGAATCCAGAACATCTGGTGTCTGAACTTGTGTCCATTCGTGTTCAGAGAGGCATGGAATAGCTTTGCCCCTTTCAAGCTGCCAACTAGACAAGTGGTCTGTTACTATTCTCTAGTGCTCCTCATTCTACAATACCACAGTAAACAGAATTCCTCCAAAGATTTAATGGGAAATGCAAGAGGAGGGGGGGAAAGAACAGAAAGGGCAAGTAGATTTAACTGCAGCAGAAGATCAGCTGTTGATTTGTCTAGCCTTCTTCCCAACATGACAACAGATGCAAAAGTCTTATCTGACAAGATCCAGAGTTCACTGTTCTTCTTGATTTGGTAGTACAGAAGATGGCGCAAGCATTTCCCCTTCTACCACTCTAGGACAGTTTGTGGATACTTCTACAGACACAGTCTGTACAACATAGTCTTTTCTATTTCTTCCTTCTACTCATATTATTCCTCTGGACTCAGTGCTCCTTTCCCCCCCAACAGTTGAGGGAAATAAGGTTATGCTGGAGAAAGCACTAAGGCCATTTTAAAATACAAAAGAATTTCGTACATTTGCAAGGATTTTGTAAAATTAAAATGGCTATACAGTTTACTGAGAGCCTACTGTACTTGTGCAGTGATGTTTGCATTTCTCCTCCTGCCTCTTTGATGACCCCAACAAAATTGCTCATATTTTCAGCATCTGCTCATACCACAGAGGCAATTACTTTTGGCCATGCAGGATAATGGAAGTCAGGCAGAGGACACCAGAAATAATTTGGCAGTGATCACATCCATAAAATCATGCACTCTTTCAAAAAAACTGATTTCATCATCACAGTAGGAGGCATTCCAAGTTCTTCACTGTTATCAAGTCTGCTCTTTCCATCCAAAACTAATTCCTACAGGATTAAATGTTACAAGGGAGACTTGGGTGGAGTGTAGCAGAGGCCTACGTGCCCTCAAGCCTATTGTAGTGCTGATTTTAATTTTATTTTTTAATATACTCTTAGCCTGCTGTTCAGCTCTGAAGTGACTCCAAAGCAGCTCACTAATCAACAAATGTAAAACAGCAATAAAATCAATAATGCACCAAAAATTATAATGTGGCCAAGCAGTCTCCGTAATCTTATTATTATTATCTTCCCATTTTCTTTGATGAACTCAAGGTCCCAGTTTTGATCTGCAAAAGCCTAAAGGCCTTGAGACCTACAAAATTATGAGCTCACCTTTTTGTTGTGTTGCATCACACTTCTGTAGGTGAAGCAACCTCCTGATTACACTATCAGCATATTGACTTGATAAAATGAAGGCAGAAAAAGGAGCACTCTGCAGCTCCCCACAGCCCTGGAACTTTCCTGTTTTCCATAGTCACTAGTTAAAGCTTGGAATTTTTGTAGATGCACAATAACTTAGCTTTATTTGGACTCTTTTTAGTGGGTAAAATAAAGTAGGTGTGAAGTAACATTTTATTGTGTTTTTTTCTAATGCTTTTGTTTCAAGTTATATGTGTTCTTTCCCCACAAAGCCGCAGGATGAGGCAAGCTAGACATTTGTATAAATAAAATGCAAGACTATTTCTTTTATTGGACAAAATCTTCGGGCATCAGCCCTCCCTTCCAATATACTTTGAGACTTCTGTCTATACCCTCAAAGGAGCAATGTGTATCTTCCTGCTTTGTTCCTTTGTGACAACTGTAGGCACCCTTGGTAATTTACACAAGATGCTACTTCAGGGAAGGTAAGCAAAAGATATGTCTGTGCAGGTGACTACTTTTAAAAAACAGTTATGGCTAAGTGCAGCTTTGAACTCTTTTTTTCTTTGTACATTGCAAACAGTGAAAACCTTTTAAGTGGAGAAAAATTTAGCAGATCCTTGGGAAACTCATGCCAAATGCTCTTTCCTCCATTCTCTATCATCTAACTTTTTGTCTCCCAGTCAAGATACAGTGCCTGAAATTAGACCAGGGGATGGGCTGGGACATGTGTTTGACCGCTCCGCCCCAATTTCTGTTCTGGAGCTAGTAAATAACTAACTGAGCACTATCAATCTGTTGCCGAGTTGCTGTGTGTCTGCAGAAGTGAGATCAGTCACCAAATGCTAGAGGACCAACAGTCATTGGAATGTCACATAATGAACACCAAGGCACTCGGAGGAGCAGCTTGGCCCCAGCCCATGGCCAGAAAACCAAGCTGACTGAGAGAGAGAGTGTGTGTATGTGAGTATTCAGTACGCTTACCTTCATCAGAAAGAATTATGCTCCAACAGCCAGCTGGCTTACAATTGCATTTGTCAATATAAGAGCACACTAACCCTTAAACCAAAGGGCTAAGCAGAACTGGACAGCTGCATCGCTTCAGCAAAGAACACCAACACCAATTAAGTATTTGCTTAATTTTGAATCAAAACAGCTCAAGATTACAATTCCCTTGAAAAATGACATAAATACTCATAATCTGCCATGCTGACTTTCAAAATATAGTTACACCCCTTCAGTGTATGGTTCATTCTGGATTTAACAATCTCCAGGTGGACCTCCAGTTTAAAAGCCCAATCTAACCCAAACTGACCAGTACAGCATCTTGGTATGCTCTCCTTTTCCCCCAACCTCACCCCTTCTCTGTGTCTCCTCGCCTAGGGA